TCCGACTGTCGGGGATAGACGTAAGACTCGGGTACGGGGGGCTCGGGTTGGCCTGCCAGGACCACCCTGAGGACGAGACCCAGCCTCTGAAATTTGACGCGAGCTCCCGCTGCAGACATCCCACGAAAACTGGACCGTCAAAACTCAGGGCGCGATCGTCAACAGAACGTGGGCTAACCCGAGATCCGGCTCACTCGAGCCATGCGTTTCCCCGAGGCTGTATCAGTCCGCGGGCCCCCAAGAAGTTCTCGGCCCCCTCCCCAAGGGGGGGGGGCAGCTCCTGACCCGGCCTGGCAGCGCCCCCGGGAGCCCAGAGCAGGGCTGGACCTAAAATCTATGTTTCGTGTTGTGTTCGTTTCGCCCCAGACTCTTTTGCGACTACTTTTTGAATATGTACACCTCCTGTAGAGGGGCAGGCCCGAGTCCACTCCTGCCCAATTTCCTGTACCTCCCTCCCGAAAAGCGAGAAGCAGAACACCGCCGAAGTCCAGCAGCACAGCGTCTGTAGGCCAAGGCCCTGGCCCAGGAGCACCACACGCACGCCGCGGAGAGGACGGCGGGGGGACAGCAGATCCGGCCCGCCCCGGAAGTCCAGGCCCCGCTCCTGCTGCTGCTGGTTCCTCCTCCCCGCAAGCTGCTCCTGGAGTTCGGTCGGGCATGTCCTCTGCCACTGGCGGATGTTGAAAGACAAACGACAAAGAGCACGAGCAGTCGTCCCCTGACTAGCTGTTTACCTCCCTTGAACCGTCCTCCTGTCGAGGGACGTGCCCAACTTAATCCTGGAGTCGAAGAAAAAATCGCGCAAACAGAAACTCCCAGAGCTCCGCACGATCTCCTTCTGCGGCGAGCGGGGGGGGGGGGGGCGGGGGAAACGAGAAGGAGAATGCCGTCTCAGCAAGCGGCGGCCGTTCTCAGAAGCCCTCGCGCCTCCCGAGAAGAGCTCCGTGTCTTCGGGGAAGGCAGGCCCGGGAGACTCCCCACAGGGCCCGGGGGACGCGCGAGCCGTCCGAAAAGGCCGTCGCCTTCTCGCCTCTCCCCCTCGCCCGCCGCCGACTCTCGGGGATGGACAGACCCCCCTCTAGTAAAACGTGGTTTAGTGAAGACGACCTGAGGCCCAAACCTGGCGGGCGCAGGCCTGGAAGAGAACGGCCACGGCGCCCTCTCGAGAACCAGAAACGGACAATTCACGGATCGACGTCTCACTGTTGGGGGTTCTGTCCACCCCCGAGGCTCTCTTGGCTCGGCGCTGGAGCCTCCTCCCTGGCGCGCGGAGCGCACCAAAAAGGGCGCCCAGGGGCGCCGTCAGGGGGGCCCCCCGCGCGCCGAGCCGGGAGACCTCGCGCAGAGCTCAGAAAGGGTGTGCTTGCGTGCCGCTACGAAGGATTGCAAAAAAACCGAAGGATTGCAAAATAACCTAGGATTGCAAAAAAGCCTAGGGATTTTTGGTTGCAATCCTGCGGTTTTTTTGCAATCCTTCGTTTTTTGTAATCCTTCTTCGAGGGAGGCAGGGGGGGCGCGGGGCGAAGCGTGGGAGAGACCAAGGGCGAGGGCCGGCAAATCCGTGGCTGCCAAGACGGTCTTCCCGGAAGATGCAAAAAAAGATGCCCGGCAGAAACCTCGGCGCACTCGATAGTAGACGGGCCGCTTCCCAGAAGAAAGAAACAGTTTCCAGGAGCTCCGTTTTGGCAGCCACGGGTTTGCCAGCCTTCGCCTGGCTTCTGAGTGGGAGGGACGCGGGGCGAGGGGTGCGGGCTGGATCGGGCGTTGGCGTGGGCGTCCTCCCCACTCCCAGCGAAGAAGGTCAGCGGCTGCAGATGGACACGCACACCACGCGGGCCCGCACGCGTGTTCTTGCGGGAAGGATGCCCTCCTCCTCCTCCTCCTCCTCCTCCTCCTCCTCCTCCTCCTCCTCCTCCTCCTCCTCCTCCTCTTCCGCATCCTCCTCGCTCTCGTCCTCCTCCTCCTCCTCCTCCTCCTCCTCCTCCTCCTCCTCCTCCTCCTCCTCCTCCTCTGCCGCCTCCTCCTCGCTCTCGTCCTCAGCCTCCTCTTCGTCCTCGGCCTCCCGATGCTCGCACCCGTTGCCCCAATCATGCACGGATTACACCAGGAATACTGCACATAATTGGGGGAAGCATGATGCAAGCACCCACTGCTTGGGGCCCGCGCTGGCAAACCCATTATCATAACAATAGTGCGTGAGTGTGAGAAATTAGAGAGCGCGAGAGAGAGGGAGAATGAGGGTGAGAGAGAATTGTCGAAAGAGCGAAAGAGAGAGAGAGAGAGAACAACAACAAAAAAAGTCTCTGGAGAGAGGGATAAAGTAGTTACAGACAAACAACGATCCCAAGGACCGAAAGCTGCTCCTTGAGATCTCTGGACGTTGGAAGGTCTGGGCTTCTCCTTGCGATCACCCACCAGGCACTGTCCCTGGGGGTCGTTCAGGCCAGGATCTCGAAGGGGATCCGACCGTGGCGATGGAGCCTGCAGGAGGCACCGAAAGGCCCCCCAGGCACCCCAAAAAGATAGATCCCCCGACTTGGGGCATGGAGATCGGCACCAGTGCCCGCGCAGGGGGCTGCCTTCACTGGAGGAAGACGGTCCTGGAGTTCGACTTCGGTGGTGATCTCTCGGCCACCTCGGGGGCCAGAGCACTGCCACCATCACCGAGATCGGGATCGCCTCCCCTCGGTGGGAGCAACCGCTGACACCGGTGACGGCGTCAACCTCCGGGCCTCCGGCACGATCCTCGACCACGGCTCGACGACGACGACGACAACGACGACAACGACGATGACGACGACGACGACGACGACGACGGCGGCGACGACGGGCCGGCAGCGACGACGACGAGGACGAGGACGAGGACGAGGACGAGGACGACGACGACGACGACGACGACGACGACGACGACGACGACGACGACGACGACGACTGCGTTAACGACGACGACGACGACGACGACGACGACGACGACGGCGACGAGGACGGCGACGACGACGGCGACGACGACGGCGACGAGAGGCGCCGCCTGGAGCCAGCTCCGCCTGTCCCCCGGGGCTGGGGCCGCCGCCGCCGCCTGAGCGCGGGCGCGCTCGCGACCGCGCGCGCGCGCTGCCTGTGCAGGGCGGGGCGCCACGGCGCAGGGCGGGGCACGCAGGAGGCCAGCACGGGGCAGGGCGCGCAGGGGCCGGCGCGGGCACGGGGCGCGCGGAGCGCGCGGTGCAGCCCTGCGCGAGGAGGGGGGGGGGCAGCGGATCTTTGAAGGGGCCCTGGGACACACAAATAAATAGACACAAATAAAACGATGACCCATATTTTCCTATATCTTCTGGGTTTCTGTCTTCCCCCCCACTTCCCATATTTGCCCATATTTTCCTGGGAGTGGACGATTATTTGTGTCTGTGTGTTTCTTTCCCTCCTGAATCTTGGGCGGCAGCTGCTGGGAGGTCCTCGTCGGAAAGATGAAGGAAATTGAGGCGCCAGGGGGGGGGCCGCTGCGCCGGAGGAGGCCGCGAAGTCAGCGGGATGAGGCGGGAGTAAGGCAGATTGAGCCGGATCAAGCGGGGTGCAGTGGAGGCCAGTCTACAAGCAACCTTCCACAAGAAACCCAACCCTGAGACCCCAAGACGTCCACTGATTGTTGGTGGGAACGTCACGCTTTCCATGGCAAAACCATCGAAACCCAAGAAACCCAGGGATCCCTGGAGGCAAGCAAGGGGGTTTCTTGGCATGGGCCTCCCCTGCAAGCCAAATGAAGCCGGATTTCGGACCAGGGCAAAGTCAGACTTCGAGACCTCCCAGGAGGAGGAGGAGGAGGAGGAGGAGGAGGAGGAGGAGGAGGAGCATCCGAGTGGATCGGCTCGGCAGGAGGAGCAGCGTCGTGCCCCGCAGCGCCGACCAGGGCCCCTGGTGCAGCTCAAAGGCCAGCCAGGCCCGCGTCTGTGCTCCGCCCTGCCTGGCGGTCAAGAGCCACCCGGGCCAAGACTTCGGTCGGGCCTGTCCCCCTTCAGGGAGATTTTGGGCGAAAAATTTGAAAATACCCAAAACATAATCAAAACATCGTCCCCAGACTATCTTTTTCTATTTTTGAATATCCCTCCTGTAGAGGGACAAGCCCGACTTCAGCAAGACGTTCCACCCCGAGGGAGGGACGGGGGAAAAGGGAAGATTGGCAGCTGAGTGGATGAGGCGGCGGAGGCCAGCTCCCAAGCCTGGGCGCCGCGGAGGAGGTGGAAGATGGAGGAGGGAGGATAGAAGAAGAAGGAGGGGGAGGAGGATAGATGGAGGGGAAAGGAGGGAAGATGGAGGGAGGAGGAGGACAAAAGAAGAAGCACCCGCACAAACATAAGCTGTTGGCGCTCCACGCGGGATTCTTGGAGCTGCGGCTGGAACCCCCCCTCCCTGGCGCGCGGAGCGCGCCAGGGGCGGCGCCGGGGGCGCCGCGGGCTGGGGCCCAGCGCGGATCCAAGAAATCCGCGCGGAGCGCCAAAAAGTGAATGCTCACGCCGTTCCTCCTTCTTCGAGGAGGGAAGAGGAGGGGGGAGCAGGAGGGGGGAGGCAGCGTCCGACCACGGACTCCCACGTCGAGAGGCCCAGGTCGAGGTCCAGGAGGAGGAGGGGGAGGAGGGGGAGGAGGGCAGGGGAGGGAAGATGAGGAAGCGGGAGACGACGACGACGACGACGACGACGACGACGACGACGACGACGACGACGCAACGGACGACGACGAGGACGAGGTTGACGACGACGAGGACGAGGACGACGACGACGACAACGACGACGACGACGACGACGACGACAACGGAGGCCGAGGACGACGACGAGGACGAAACGAAGACGACGACGACGAGGACGACGACGAGGACGACGAGGACGAAGGACTACAGCGGCTGGAGAACCGCGGCGGCGAGCGGGGGGCCACCGTGGCCCAGGCCATGCCAGTCGCCGGCGCCCCAGGGGGCGGCTCCACCGCCGAAGCCGCCGCCAACTGTCGCGCGCGCGCGGGGGGGGACGCCGCCACCGCCTCGCGCCGCCGACGGAAGCCTCGGGCCCCCTTCCGCTCGTTGGGGCTTTCAGGTTCTGCTTGGGTCGGGCGTGTCCCCCCACAGGCGGATTTTTTGGACGAAAAGTGAAAGAGACTCAAAGTACAGACCCAAACGTGATGCAAGAAATGCAGAAACATCGTCCCCGGACTATTTCTACTGTTTTTGAAATACTCCTCCTGTGGAGGGATAGGCCCGGCATAAGGCAATGTTCGGCGCCTCGGGGAGCGTTCCAGCAGCCCCGCGCCTCCGCCGACCCGACCGTCGCGAGAGGAGCCCGTGGAGACCCGAGGCATGGCCCGACAAGCCGAGCCCCTCGGGTCGCTTTGGGTGACCAGGTGGCCCAAAAGGGGTTCCAGCTGAAAGGGGGTGGTGCAATAGAGTCGGGGAGACGTAAGACTCGGGTACGGGGGACTCGGATTGGCCTGACGGGGACCATCATAAAAATGACGAGACCCAATCTGATATTTGACGCGGGCTCCCGCTGCAGACATCCCACGAAAACGGACCGTCAAAATCCAGGACGCGCTCGTCAAAAAAAAAGTCGGCAAACCCGAGTTCCGGCTAACTCGAGTCTTACGTTTCCCCGATAGAGGTGGGGCAAGCGTATTGCGCCGGAGAATAATCGATTGCCTTGTATTGCAAGTAGTTAGTGCGTTGCGCGCGAAGATCCAGCAATGCATCTGCGCCGCGGAACGCACTGCAGGCCCCCAAATGTATTGCAATCCCACAACTCTATTGCACCAAATGATTTGGTGCAATAGATTTGTGGGGTTGCAACACAGTCGATTTAGTCTAATTCTGTTGCACCACCCCCTTGTCGCTGGACCCCCTTGTGAGTTAACCCGCGTCGCCCCACCCCCCAATAAACACGACGGACGCGGCCCTGCCAATGTTCGGCCTCCAGGGGCACCCGCTGGGCCCTGGGCCCTCGAAGAGCACGGCTCGGGGTGCGAAAGCCGGCCCCTCCAGGAAGAGGGCCTGGACCTCGAGAGGTCCCCGCGGTGAAAAAGAGATCGAGGCAAGTCGAGGGTCTGAGACCGAAGGCGCCTGGAGGTCTCTCGGATGCCGCCGTCGTCGCCCGCAGCCCGTCTGTCGTCGCTTTTGCCTGGCGCCGGGCCCCGGGCCATCCCAGATCGGTGCGGCTCGGAACCCGCCGCAGGAGGATGGGGTGCCCCGACGCAATGATCTTTTTCACTACGTCGGCCCCCTTGAGGTCACGGCCCCTTTCCCTGGAACCGGCTTTTCATCCCGAGTCGTTCTGTGATGGTCCCGAAGCCCGATAAGGGCACCCGGAAGCTGAAAATACAGCAAAACCCTCCGCTGCGTTTTTTCACGACTCGAGAGGGCTTTGGGAAGATGGGGTCCAGGGCCCTGATCGAATATTTCACGATATCAAGGTCGGATCTCAAGGTCGCCGACCGAGGCCTCCGGAGACGCTTAGAGGCCGCTATCGTCGCCCGTTGCTCGTCGCTGTTCGGTCGTCGTCGTCGTCGAAGGAACCGGGTAGGAGATCGACAACATAATTGGTTTACCCCAGAATGTATATGTTCGTCGAACCGACGATAAATGCGTAGAATGCTTCATAGATCTATAGCCCATTCTACACACTTATTTCGCAGATCTGCCAAATGTAAATTTTGGGGTGGGACAGTTCTGCAGTCGACCTTTTACTCGAAACTGTTATCGAAGGACGGTAGCACAGGAGGACCATAACCAACCTGGTGAGGAGGAGAGGAAAAGGAGGAGGAGGAGGAGAAGGAGAAGGGGGAGGAGGAGGAGGAGGAGGAGGAGGAGGAGGAGGAAGAGGAGGAGGAGGAGGAGGAGGAGGAGGAGGAGGAGGAGAAGGAGGGAGAGGAGGAGGGAGGATGGAGGAGGAGGAGGAGGAGGGGAGGAGGAGGAGGAGGAGGAGGAGGAGGGGGAGGAGCAGGAGGAGGAGGAGGAGGAGGAGGAGGAGGAGGCGGAGGAAGAGGACGAGGAGGAGGAGCAGGGCCCTGGCTACCCTCCCCCAGGCCCCCGCCTTCCGTCGCACCTCCCCCCCCCCCCTGACCGCACGAGCAGGAGGCCGTGGCGAGGGGGCGGGCGCCCGGCGCAGCCGAGGAGACGGCGGAGGAGAGCGAAGAGAGGGGATGCGGACGAGGAGGGGAGGGAGGGCGCGAAGGAGGAGGAGGACGAGGGGCAGAGAAACGAGGGGATGATGACCACGGGGGAGGGGCGCTGCAGACCAGGCGCGCCCGCAGCGTGCCTGACAGCCTGTGCCTGCCCCCCCTTCCCAGCCTTTTCGCACTGCGCTGAAGTCTCGTCCGTCCACCGATCGGATCCACGAGAGGGCCTCGGTCCCTAGAACGACGCCCCCGTGCGATGCACAACAAGAAGGGAGGGGCTTGCCCAGTGGAAGACGAGGAGGTGGCGGATGAGCAGGGAGACAACCAAGGGAGAAACCATGATGATGAGAAGGGGCGAGGAGCAGCGTTTAGAAAGAGAGCATCGGCTCCCAGAGCGACCCCACCGTGCGATGAACAGGCAGAAAAGGGGGCTTGTGCAGAGGAGGACAAGGAAGTGGCGATGACGAAGAAGATGGCGCCAGAAGCTCGAAGAAAAAGCAGAAGGGGCAAGACAGATAACCCGGAAGGGAGGAGGTAGGCAGACTGGATAAAAAAGGGGCACAGGGGGACAAGGATAAGGGGAAGGAAGGGGAAGGACAATCAGGAGAAACAGGAGGAACAGGATAAGGCGAAATTAGAGAAGCAGGAGAAGCAGGACGAGCAGGAGGTCCAGGATAAGGCGGAGGACCTGGGTAAGGAGGGGGACGAGGACGACGACGACGACGACTGAACTACCTGGAAATCTTGCCGCCATGGGGGGGGCGCAAAACGGGACGACAGGGGCAACGCGACGATCCTGAAAAGTTGCCAGCGCTGCACCCAGCACGCACTCACGGACGACCGAAAACAGACCGATCGAATCAAACGATACCACACATCAGCGTTTTAAATGATGAGTGAAGGAAGCAATCCGCGAGAGGAGAGGCGCCATCACTGGAAAATACCCGCAAGGAGGGGGCAACAGCACTCATACTGAGCAGTTGTGGACGAGGGGCGGCTATGAGATCCGGCGTGGCGGGACACTGCAGCATCACGACGAAAAACCTATACACCAAAACCTTAGACCCTAAGCATCTCTCGTACCCAGGTCCCGAACTTGGCGAAGACTTCCAGTGATAAGAGTGCAGGAGGAGGGGGGGGGAGGAGGACTGGGAGGAGGAGGACGGCGGCGGGAAGGGAGAGGGGAAATGGGAGCTGGTGCGCGGCGAAAATCCGCCGAGCCGCTGCGGCGGCAGGGGCAAGCAGCGCCCCCCTGCCCCGGAAAAGTTCGAACGGCGTGCCGCACACGACGACGCGACCACGCACTCCGCGACGGGGGAGGGACGGCCCGACCAGCAAGCCGGCAGGGCACAGCCGCCCTCCGCCTGCAGCCACCCCAGCGCCTCCCCGCCGACCTCGGTGGCCCCACCCTCACCTTTGGCCTGGCTCGCCCCTGGCGTCGCCTGCCTCCCGGCCCCGCCGCGCGGCCCAACCCGCCGGCGACGCCCCCGCCGCCGGCGCGCTTGCGCCCCGGACTCGAGGGGCCCCAGGACACACACACACATCGGTACACACAAGTAAACATTTTCCCCATATTTTCCTATATTTTCTGGGCTTCCGTCTTCCCCCCCACTTCCCATCTTTTCCCATATGCTCCTGGGACTCGACGATGAATTGTGTCTCTGAGTGTTTTTTTCCCTCCTGACCGACTCCGCCCCCCGCGCCGCGGAAGACGCCGTCGCAGTCTGCTCGGCTCCGCTCGGCGCAGCCGCGGCTTCGCCGGAGACGCCCTCGCCACTTGCCTGCGGCGTCGCCCCGGCTTCGCCCGGCCACGCCTGGGACTGCCTCGCGCGGCGTGTGGTTTCGCTTGGCCCTGGTGCGGTTTCGAATTGGGACGACGCCCCACTCTGCTCGGCTCGCTCTGGTCCGGGCGCGGTGTCGCTTGGGACGCCCTTTCAATTGGCCTTGCGTCGCGCGTGGTTTCGGCGCGGCTTCGCTCGGGGCGCCCCCCAAGTTGCCAGGTGCCTCACGCGGGCCGCGGGCGCGAGCGCGGGGACAAGCACGGCACACAGCGGGCGCGCACGCTGATCCACATGCCGCTCTCCAGCGTCACAGTAGAACAAGCGAAGTGGGCGTGGACACCCGAGGCGCAGTGCGCGCGCGTGTCTGGCGCAACCATCGCCCGCGTACTTTCCGCTGCCGCGCGGCATTGGACACTGTGGCGGCGCTGGGGGAAGAGCTCCCAGCCCTGCGGCACCGCGTTCGTGAGTGGGCGGGTCCGCGCCGCGAGGGAAACGCCTCTGACGCGCTGGACCAGCATGCTCTCTACGCGCGCAAAGAGGGCGAAGACAAACAACAGCGCGTTCGCGCCGCGCCCGAGGCCCGGCTCGGACCATCTGCTGGATTGAAACGACCTTCGCAGCGAACATGGCGGCCTGGCACTCGACCAGTCGCTCCCATGGACCTGCGCTGGATTCAAAATCATCCGCGATCGCGCCGACCGCGCCCTCACGGGGCGCTCGGCACTCCGTCGACGAAGAGATGCTCGCCCGGGACTCCTGGGGGGGCTGCGCGACGGCAAGCGTGATCCGAACCTCCAAGGCGCTCGCAAGCGGAGCCAATACTGTTGGACCTGCCACTCCAACCGACCATCTCAGCAGTGCAGGCGGAACCGTAAGTGCGACCCAGTATGCGCGCTTGCCGCGAGGTCACCCGACGTCGCACGACGGGCGGCCTCGGCAAGACGGATCTCGGCGCAGCCCCCGCACAAGATGACAAACTTAAATCCACAGGACATCGCCGGAAGCTGGCAGCGAGGCGCCGAAGTCGACCGCCTGCCTGGGTCTGGCTCGGGAAAATTCGAACCCACGGCAAGACGCGTTATAGACGCTTACTCTTTGTGGGGGTCGTGCGCGCCAAGCCGCGCATCGCTCCGTGGACCCTCGCTTTGCGGATCCCGGAGCCGATATGAATATTACTAGCCGCTGGAGGCCCACATTTACTAGGAATGTTCAGCAAACCAGACACGTCCCGCATCGGTCTCAAAGACCAGAGGAGGAGCGCATGGATGGCAGCAACAGGTCCCTCGCGCGCAACTTGTGCTTCACCGGCTGCCAGCGCTGGCTGATGGCGTAAGGCCTGAGCCGGATGGGAAGCGGCTGCACCCCGCCTGCAGGCAAGGCCACGACCTCCGCCACCCTGTGGTCGGTCCATGCGAGCATCTTGGGGTCCGAGCGCGCCGCCGAGTGGAACAGCAAACCATGACTTTCATCCTCGGACTGGCTGCTGTAGCTGTTGGTCCTGAAACTTGCACATGGTTGAATATGATAGGGTCATCTTCGAACGGATATCCAGGAAATTATGATTGAACGCCTCATGCGTCAGTTAACGGGGACAGCCACGTATCCAGATCTTCCTCGTGTTCCTGCCCTGCCGTATGGTGATGATATTAGGGAGCTGGCCCATGGATCCACACGCGTAGATCCAGCAGAACGGAACCGGCCACTGAAGCAGGATGAGAATTGACAAACGACTCGAGATTCGGCAGCGTTGCCTCAAGCTCAGCCAAGATGAAAGCTCTCTGAATGGTATACAGGCGGAACGATGTACAGCTTCCCCACGCTCCAATCCGAAATGCCAGTCGTCCTCTACGTTGATGTCCATAGCTGCTTTCATCTCGCCCGTACTGAACCTGGTGGCTTGTGCCTCGAGGGCCTCTTTGAAGTCCGTCATCTGTTTAAAGACATCGGTGGATGTCGTGGCCTTCTCGCCGGATTATTTGTCACCATCATGGTGTTGGAACGCTGCTCAGTGAAGGTCGCAAGCCTGATTTTAGTTGCTTGCAGGGCCGCCGCAAGCAACGCCTCGATCATGTCAACGTCGACTGCTGCCATGATTGCTCCAATACAGATAAGCACAAGAAACGGAACAAAGACCTCAATTTACCCGGGCCTGTGGGAGCAATGACTGAAAAGACAGACCCACCAACGCAGGGAACCTAGTGATGGGGATCGTGGTGTGGAAAGCTCTCACAGCCTGGCCTCAGACCAGACAGAGGTGCCCGCTCCGTTCCCAAGGGAGCCCTCCGCCCCTGAGCTGGAGAATGGCTACGGGTCAAGCGAAGGCCGCGAGGCGGAGGAGGCGGAGGTTGGGGGGCGGAAAGATACGGATACGTGTTGTCCCCGGACCTCTCTTGGGGTGCGTTCTGACCAGAATTTCGAGGCGAATCCAGCGGTGACAACGAGGATCCCCCAGGAGGACCAGGAAAGGCCGAAAACGACGGGGGACAACACGTATCCGTATCTTTTTGTCCCCCGAGGAGGAGGAGGAAGAAAGAAAGGAAGGGAACGAGGATCGAAGGCAGGAGGGACATGGACGGGGAGGAGGGCGGGGAGCCCCCCGCCCCTCCCCGAGGCGGGCGCGGGCCGCGGAGGCCGCGCCCGCACGGCCCCGCGAGTGGGGGCGCGGCAGGAGGGGGCGCACGCTGGATCGGGCGCGCGGCGACGTCGAGCGCGTCCTCCTTGCGCGGGGGAGGGTGCTGGGCGCGAGTTCCTCCTCCTCCTCCTCCTCCTCCTCCTCCTCCTCCTCCTCCTCCTCCTCCTCCTCCTCCTCCTCCTGGGGGGCGACGCAGCAGGAGCTCGGCCACGAGAAACCTTCCACCAAGGAGCCCCACCCCGAGACCCCAGGGTGTCCAGCGGCTCCTGGCGTGGGAGCGTCACGCCTTCCGTGGCGAGGCCGTCGGAGCCCAAGAAACCCAGAGCACCCTGGAGGCAAGCAGGGCGTTTCTTGGCAGTGGTCTCCACTATACAGCGGGGGGGGGGAGAAAGGTACCGTTGTCGGGCTCTGCAGGCCCCCTCTTGGGCCATGAAGGGCCCCTTTCTGAGCCCCCTTCAGGGCACCCTTTTCGGCAGCCCTCGCTGCCCCCCCATGTGAATTGCCCCCCACATTGCGCATCCTCCGAGAGGAGGGAGGTTGGAGCGCTTGGTTGCAAATCCTTAGAGCCACCCGTGCCATCTTGTCGGTTTTTGCGGATCGGCACTCGTCGATGCTAAGGCGGCGCCCATCGATGCTAAGTCGACAGTAGCCGACGCTCATCGACGCAAGTCGACGCTGCCTCGTCGATTACCAGACGCCAAGCGACGCTAATACATGCGAAAAACTGCATCACGAGGGTCCACAAGGCTCCCATGATTTGCCCCCGAAGGAGAGGACACTTCAGAAAACAGATACAAAACCAGACAGGCACGGAGGATCGGGATAAGGCCCAACCCCCGACACGGAGTTTGCTGCTTGGCGGCGCCATGGCAGGAGAGCCCAGAATCGAATCGACAAGTCGGATCGGCAATCGACATGACTCGGATCGACGGAAATCGGCAGCCGAGTCGCCGAGTCGGGAAAGTCGAATCGGCAGACATCGGCAGCCTGGCAGGCCTCCGTTGAGAAATCGGAGCCCGCATCGGAATTCGAAGCCGCATCGGATCGGAATCGGAAGCCATCGAGATCGAATCGCATCGAACGGGAGGAATCGAAATGATCCGTGAACAGGGCCCCGCAGCACGGAAGGGTAGAGTCCACGCGAGCGGCGAGCCGAAGCGGGCCCTGCGCGACCGTGCGCTGCGGCTCACGCGGGCCGCCGGCTCAGCACGCTACCCTTTTGAGACGAAGGCGCTTGCGCGAGGCAATGCGCGGGCAGTTCACAGTCAGCCCGTGTCATTTTGAGGGTGCGCGGTAAGGGTTTGGAGGGCCTCGGAGGGCCAGGCTGGCGATTTCGAACGAGGTAGACCAGTGGAAGTCGCTAAGGATCGGCCGAAGGGGCAAGGATGCCAGGGGCCCCTTGGGAACGTTGCCCATCCTTCCTATGCGGGCTCACTGTACGCGCCAATGTCGGCGCAGACGACCCCAAGTTGTGCTTTGCTCACGTGCAGTGCCACGCCACCCTGTTCTCGCGGGGGGGGGGGCGGACTGGGGGCGACCGGCGCACTACCGAGGGGTAGAGAGAGAAAGAAAGGCGAGAGGCCAGGGTTTGGCCACTTCGCTACAGGAGTGGCAAGTCTGGACAAAGATTGGATCCTGGGTGCTGGCAGCACGAGATACTGAAAACTATGGTCGGAGATCTGCAAGCATGGACCCAAAACGGCGTCATATCTGTGGCCGGACCTCTGTGGTGCAATGTGCGTGGCGCAATGTATGAGTTGCAAGTTAGGCAAAGCAATACATATATGTATGTGCACACATACATACATACATACATACATACATACATACATACATACATATATATACATACATACATACATACATACATACATACATACATCCATACATACGTACATACATACATACATACAGACATACATACATGCATACATATAGATATATAGATATATATATGGATATATAGATACATATATAGATAGATAGATAGATAGATAGATAGATAGATAGATAGATAGTTATAGATATATAGATATGTAGACAGCTATATATACACACATTCATACATACATACATTACATTACATTACATTACATTGCATTACATTACAATACATTACCTTACATTACATTACATTACACTACATTACATTACATTACATTACATTGCATTACATTACATTACATTACATTACAATACAATACACTATTACATTACATTACCTTACAATACATTACATTACAATACATTACATTACATTACATTACATTACATTACACTACATTACATTACATACACACATACTTACGAGAAAAAGATTGTTCTACCGCTGCTGGCGGAAAACCGGGGGGGGGTCACTGGGGGTTCCCAACCCGTCCCCCCCCCCCTCGAAAACCAGGGGGGGTCACTACTGGTTCGAACCCCTCCTCCCCCCCCTCCGGTTCGAACCCCCCCCCCTTGAAAACAGGGGGGGGTCACTACCGGGTCGAACCCCCCACCTCCTCGCCGCTAGCAAACGATTCCCGCTCCTCGGGACAGTTAGACAATGGTGGGGATGCTGGGACAGTGGTGGGAACGGTGGTGGTGGGGACTGTGGTGCGGGGACAGTGGGACAGTGGTACGGACAGTGGTGGGGACGGTGGTGGTGGGGACAGTGGTAAGGGGACAGCGGGACAGTGGTGGGGACAGTGGAACAGTGGCGGGGACAGGAGTGGTGGGGACAGTGGTGAAGGCAGTGGTGAGGGCAGTGGTGGGACAGTAGCACAGTGGGGAAAGTGGTGGGACAGTGGGGACAGTGGGACAGTGATGGGGACAGTGGGGACTGTGGGACAGCACAGTGTGACAGCGGCGGGGACAGTGGGACAGTGATGGGTACAGTGGGGACAGTGGGACAGTGGTGGTGACCGTGGGGAAAGCTGGGAGAGTGGGACCGTGGTGGGACAATGGTGGGGAGAGTGGGGACAGTGAGACACTGGTGGGGGCAGTGGTGGGGACAGCGGAGACAGTGATGGGAACAGTGGGGACAGTTGGACAGTGGTGGGGACGGTGGTGGTGGGGACAGCGGTGTGGGGACAGTGGGAATGTAATGGAAACAGTGGGACAGTGAAGGGTACAGTGGTGGTGGGGACAGTGGTGAGGGCGGTGGCGAGGACGGCGGTGGGACACTGGGACAGAGGTACAGTGGGGACAGTGGTGGGAACAGTGGGACAGCTCAGTGGGACAGCGGCGGGGACAGTGGGACAGTGGGTGGGACAGTGGGACAGTGGGACAATGGTTGGGACCGTGGAGAAAGTGGGGAGAGTGGAACCGTGGTGGGAACAGTGGTGGGGACAGAGGGGACAGTGCGACAGTGGTGGGGGCACTCGTGGGGACAGTGGGGACGATGGTGGGGAACAGTTGGGACAGTGGTGGTGAGGACAGTGGGGACAGCAGTGGATGTGGTGCGGACGGTGGTAGGGACCCGGGAGTCGTTTGCTGGCGGTGAGCGGAGCGCAGGGGGGGGGAGGGGTTCGAACCGGTAGTGACCCCCCCGCCGGTTTTCTGGAGGAGGGGGGTTCGAACCGGTAATGACCCCCCACCCGGTTTTCGAAGGGGGGTGGGGTTCGAACCGGTAGCGACCCCCCCGGTTTTCGAGTGGGGGGGGGTTCGAACAGGTAGTGACCCCTTCGAACCGGTAGTGACCCCCCCCCGGTTTTCCAGGGGGAGGGCCCCGGGGGGAGGGGTTCGAACCGGTAGTGACCCCCCTCTGGTTTTCTGGGGGGGGGGGGGGAGGAAAACGAACTGGAAGTGACCCCCCCGGTTTTCCGGAGGGGGGGGGGGTTCGAACCGGTAGTGACCCCCCCCCGGTTTTCTGAAGGGGGGGGGCGGGGGGGGTTATAGGAGGGAAGGGTGGGGGTTTGCCGGGGGAGAAGGGGGGGGGAGGGGTACAGCAGGGGGGGGGATTTTCGGAGGGGGGGGAGGGGAACCCCGGGTTCTGGAGGAAGAGGGGGGGGTCCACGGTAAAGCGGCGGTGGATCACGCTCTCTCGCATACAGATACGTACGTACGTCCGTCCGTCCATACATACATGAATACTTACATGCATACATACATACATACATACATACATACATACATACATGCATGCATGCATGCATGCGTACATGCGTACATGCATACATGCATGCATGCATACATGCATACATGCATACATGCATACATGCATACATGCATACATGCATACATACATACATACATACATACATACATGCATGCATGCATGCATGCACAAACAAACAAACAAACAAACAAACCTACATCCATACATACATACATACATACATACATACATACATACATACATACATACATACATACATATATACATACATGCATGCATGCATGCATGCATGCATGCATGCATGCATGCATGCATGCATACCTACATACCTACATACCTACATACCTACATACCTACCTACCTACCTACCTACCTACATACATACCTACATACATACATACCTACATACATACATACATACATACATACATACATACATACATACAAACAACCATACATATATATATGTATCAGAGTGAAGGGGGCCGAACGGTCACTGACTGTCCCTGGGTGCGTGGCTGACAAGGGGATCCGTGGTGAGGATTATGCTTGTTTTTGTTGTTGTTGTTGTTGGTGGTGGTGGTGGTGGTGGTGGTGAGGTTGTTGTTGTGATGGTGGTTGCTGTTGTTGATGTTGTGGTTGTTTGTGGTCGTCGTCCCACCCGCGACCCACGCGCGACCCATCCCGCGACCCACCCGCGACCCACCCCGCGACCCACCCGCGACCCACCGCGACCTGGCCCGCGACCCACCCGCGACCCGCCGTCGACCCACCTGCGACCCAAGCCGTGACCCACTTGATTATTTTAATAAAAAAAACGGCGCCTGCGGCGGGCTCGTTTTATAGCTTGAAAAATTATGCGCCTGCGGCGGGCTTCTTCAGAGCCTCGCAGACTGCCGATATACCCGCCGCCCCCTCTCTCTTATCCGCAACTGCGGGGTGCTACGTATAGATTTACATATATGTTTGTGTGTATATATATACGCGCTGGGTGTAAGCTACGTAATGCAACTTACACACTCTTCGTAACTGTACATGTACGTATACATACACATGTATAGATACAAGGAGAGACAGAGACAGAGAGAGAGAGAGATGGTGCGAGCTATGCGGTGCAACCTGTGTGGTGCAGAATACGGTGGAAGATGTCTGGTGTACGCTACGTGTGGTGCAGACCACGCGGCGCAATTCACAGCGGACCCACCGCGGGCGCCCACGGGCGCCCGCCGGGCGAGACCTGGGCGGACCCATATGCCGTTCCCGAGGTTAAGAGAGAGAGAGCCCCTCGAAGTACGAGCACGGTCTGGGGAGTGACTTGGAGTCTCCAGGACAGCATGTTCAAGATGGTAAACATGGTCAGCGTGGCTCGGCAAAAGGGCTCAGCACGAAATCGAGACACTCCGGGCCGCCGCCCCCTCCTCCTCACTGAGCAAGTCCGGGAGTCGCTGGGAGCGGACATCCACGGTGACAGCGACGAAGGTCTCCGAACACCCCTGGAGGTCCTCGCAGGTCCAGAGGCCCCAGGAAGCCCTCGCGGGACCCGAGAGGCCTCTAGAGGCCCCCATGAGGGGCCAGGAAAAATGAACAAGCTGGCTACTCGAACCTCGGAGCCTGATCGACGACGACTGTCGGCTCTCGACGAGCGTCGGCTGTCGACAACTGCCCACGACGACGACGACGACGACGACGACGCCGACGGCGGCGGCGGCGGCAACAAACGGCGAATACAACAACGACAACAATCAATGCGCGACTATTCGTTCACCATGTATATCCCACAAAAACTCGATCGCCGCCCTCTTCGTGTTCAATCGCGCCACACTTAGAGGGTGCATCTTCCTTACCTGCCACGTGCAGTTGGCGTAGACCCTAAAACAGGGGAAGGGAGGGAGGAGGGCAGAGACAGGGGGGATGGAGGAGGAGGAGGCGGAAGAGGAGGAGGAGGAGGAGGAGGAGAAGGAGAAGGAGAAGGAGAAGGAGGCGGAGGAGAAGGAGGAGGAGGGCAGAGACAGGGGGGGAATGGAGAAGAAGGAGCACACGCGGCACAACCAGACGGGCGGGTCGATGGGGGCGGGCCCAAGCGGCGGGGTCGAGCGGGACGGGTCGCCGAAGCGCCAATCCGACATACGCATCAAGGAAGTGTCGAGCGATAGCGCGAACCCCGAGAGGATCGCGCAGCCCCTACAACTGGGGAAGGGAGGGAGACAGACAGACAGACAGACATGCTCATGGGATCCCTCGTCAGCTGACCTTCCAGGTGGACTCCAAAAGGACAACGAATGCTGCAAAACTTGCATCCTGAGGGGCGAAACCGTTTGGACGCCAGTTTAACAAGCGTGGGAGCCGCGCACACGCCGTGGAGAGAGTCGCCCGAAAGACCCCCCCGCCTGCCTCAGGACAGCGCACCCACGCAGACCACGCGGATGGAGCAGGACAGAGATTTGCAGGAGAGAGGTTATGCAGGGGCCCTGGGACACACAAGTAAATACACGCAAATAAAAAAGGAGTCCCCAACATGTTCCCACATGTTCTGGGTTCTTGTCTTCCCCCCCGCCTCCCACATGTTCTCCCACACTTTTGTTGGGGAATCGGCGATGCATTGTGCCTGTGTGGGTCTTATTTTCCCCTCCTGGAGAATTAGGAGCAGGAGTCGGGGATCTTCCGACCCGGGTCAATCCAGACCCGGGTCAGTCAGGCCTTGCAGAACCCTGCAAAATCCTGCAGGAACCGGCACCCAAACCCGGGTCCATGCGCAGGCTCCTGCCAGATCCCTGCAGGATCCTGCACCCAAACCCGGGTCAGTGCGACCCTGGTTCTGCAGGATCCCGCAAGATCCGGCGCTCTGGCCGACCCCCGTTTACATTGACCTTACCAGCCTGGAACATATCCCTATCCCTATGCTGGGCACCTCCTCATCACGATGCCAATCTCAGGGATTCCCCAATGTTTTGAGGGCGAATCCCTAAGATTGTCATCGCCTTTTGGCGTGTCAATCTTAGGGATCGGGATACGCTCGAGGCTGGTAATGACCCCCGTCTCGAGGCCCCCGGAGGGAGCGCAAAGGCGGCACAAAAACCGGACCGGGGGGCGGCCGGGCGCGCGGACCCCCACGGGCTCGGGTCGGGCGGTCGGGCCCTCAGGCGGCCACGGGTCGGCCGGGCGGGTCGCTCCAGCTGAAGGGGCCCTGGGGCACACAGGTGAGTGGACACAGGTAGCAGGATCCCCCATCTTCTGCACTTGTTGTCTGGGTTTCCTGTCTTCCCCCCCCACTTCCCATCTTTTCCCATATTTTCCTGGGAGTCCAGAGCGAGGGAGTCCAGAGCGAGGGCGCGATTCGAAAGTCGCAAGCTGAAGGGGCCCTGGGGCACACAAGATCATAGACACAGGTAACAAGACTCCCCATAATTTCTCATATTTTCTCTGGGTGTCCTGTCTTCCCCCCCCACTGCCGATGGTTTCCCATATCTTCCTGGGAGTCGACGATTGATTGTGTCTGTGTGTTTTGTTCCCTCCTGACTAACATGAGTCGCGAGGAAGCCCAGAGCGAGAGCGCGATTCTCGAGCGTCGAAGGCGCGGCGTCTCCATAAACGGCAGGGTCGGAAAAATGAGAGTGAAGACTCCGTCCCTTTGCCGAAAAGATGGAACGAGGGTCTAATCCGAGGGCGAGAAGCGGGAGTGTCGGAAAAGAAGGAACAAGATGGAACACGAGGGAGATAACCAGGAGGGGGGCTAGGATCAGAAAACACGTGGCAAAACCAGCCGGGCAGATCGCGCGGGCAGACCCTAGCTAAAGGGCGGGTAGGGGGGCGGGCCCAGGCGGCCAGGTCGAGCAGGCGGGTTGCTGAAGCGTGAGGCCTGCATGAATCGCGAGCAAGTGTCGAGCGATAGCACGATTCCCAAGTAAAGCGTGAGAAAGGCGAACGCGAGAGCGTGTTTCCTGAGTGTCGAAGACGCGGCGTCTCAAGACATTGCAAGGAAGTCCCACGTGAAACCACGATCCCTGCATACTTTGTAAAGAACTCCCGCGAGAGCGCGAATTTGGAATACAGTGAGAAGAAATATCAGGCGAGATCCGTTGTTGTTGTTGCAAACCGGCACCACCAACGCATGTTGGGGACACCAAACTTTGCTCAGGGTGCGAGCCCTGGGAGGGTGAAATAAAACAATGCTGGAGAGGAGGATCAACAATAGTTATTTGAGTGAATATTCAATACTCATTCTAAGACTGTTCGCCCTTCAGTCCAAAGCGAGAGCGTGGCTCCTGATTGTCGAGGACGCGGGGTCTCAATAAACTGCAAAGAAATCACACGCGAGACCGCGATTCCTACGTACATTGCGATGCAGTTCGGCGCGAGACCGCGATTTTTGAATAAAGTGTGAGGGAGTATCAGGCGGGAGCCGTTGTTGTAATTCGGAGGCCAGGGGGGCAATCTGAACCTCAACAGTTTCCCTTGTAAGAAACATGGTGCAAGCCCTGGGAGGGGCACTTCAGTGGACAAACAGACATTGGGCACCAGAATGGGCACCGGAGGGGGGATCAACAATGATAGGAATGAGAGTTCAGCGACGACGACAACGGCGACGACTGCGTTAACTGAGTTAACTGCGTTGACGACGACGACGACGACGACGACGACGACGACGACGACTGCGTTAACTGCGTTGACGACGACGACGACGACGACGACGACGACGACGACGACTGCGACGACGACGACGACGATCGGCAGGAGGAAGCGGTGCCTGAGGGGAACGGGTCCTGAGCCCAAGGGCCGTCTTCAGGAGGCGAGGTCTCCGTCGGAAGGATGGGGGAGCATGGAGCCCCGCGACCACCGTGGGCCATGACGACGGCGTCGACGAGGACGACAGCGACGACGACGACGACGACGACGACGACGACGACGACGACGACGACGACGACGACGGCGACGACGACGACGGCGGCGACGGCGGCGGCGGCGGCGGCATGGCGGCGGCGGCGGCGCGGGACGCTCCCCGCCCCGCCGGCCGCCCAAAGAGAGGGAGCCCCGCCGGTCCTGCTGCCAGGCGTCCGGGTCCGGGCTGCGCCGGACGGAGGGCGCCGGCACGTTGCCTGTTCCGCGGGCGCGCGGGGCTCCCGGAGGTGCCCTGAGCGCAGCCTGGAAGGCCCAGCGAGCGTCGGGCTGGGTCGGGCGATGGGCCAAAGAAGCGCCTTCCTCCTCCTCCTCCTCCTCCTCCTCCTCCTCCTCCTCCTCCTGAGTCCCCAGGGCAAAAAAAAATACACCAGAGAGAAGCCCCAATAAGTGGATGGTTTGATCGATGAGGAGATCGACCTCGGGTGCGGCGCCTGCTGCGGCCTGCGAGCGTCGTGTCGGGTCGGGCGCTCCTTGCGCCAAGGGGGTCCCCGACGCCGACCGACTGCGCACCCCCTCTGGTGTAAAGGACCCTGACCTTCCAGAAGGGCTAAGAAAAACAGCACCAGGACGTCGACGTCCGAATTCCTGTCTAGGTTTAAGGCCGTCCAGGTCGATCTATAGGTCTGGAGTGTTATGTTTCTAGCACTCTGGAAGGTCAGGGTCCTGGAGACTCCATGTTGGCGTTCTCGCAAAATTTTGGGCCCTGGGACCCTCTCACATCGATCCGGCTCGAAAAATGATGCAGAAAGATAGGCCTAGGGCTCCGGGCGTGATTTTTCGCGATGTTGCAATGTTGTCGCTATGTCGGATCGCAGTGGGGATGTGTTCTGGCGCTCAGGGATCTACTTGATTTAGAAGGACCCCTAACCCTTTGGGAGGAGACTTCAGTTAGGAGGACCAAGAACATTATGGATAGAGGGTCTTTCTGCAGATGTGCCAAACGAAACCGCCCAGAATTATTATCCAAATGCGAACACGGGGACCTCCGTGAGGCCACGACTTCATCGTGTCATTATGGTTAGGGGTTCTTCTTGCTCTCGATGAACAGAGGGCTGATGTTCCGTCGTTTTCGGGAACCTACTGCCCCGGGCCGATCCAGACCCGGGTCCGTCAGGCTTGGAACCTGCAGCAATCCTGCAGGATCCTGCTCCCCAACCCGTGGCCCCGCAGGATCCTGCAAGATCCGACGCTCTCTGGCTGGCCCCCGTTCTGCATGGACCCCCGTGCCCCCTGACCTTCCGGAGTGCAAAAAACAAATAGCACTCCAGAACCATGGAGCTATCTGGACTGCCTCAAACCTCGCCAGGAAGTAGGACGTCGATGTCCTAGTGCTATTCCCCAATCAGTGCTTGCACTGAAGGGGTCCTAGCGGAGCTTGAAAGATTTGGCGAAAGTTTCCCGCCGATGTTGGTGGCCAGCTGGGTTCCCGGGTTCCTGGTTCCGGGTTACTGGATTCCTGGTTATTGGTTCCGGGCCGATGCAGGGGGGTTCCGGGTGCCGGGGTTCCCGGTCGATCTCCTCATCGATCAAACCATCCACTTATTGGGGCTTCTCTCTGGTGTATTTTTGTTTGCCCTGGGGACTCAGGAGGAGGAGGAGGAGGAGGAGGAGGAGGAGGAGGAAGGGGCTTCTTTGGCCCATCGGCCCGACCCCACCCGACAATCGCTGGGCCCTGCGGGCGCGGCACTGCCTCGGCGCCAGAGAGGCTGTGCAGGGCGTGGTTTTTCGGAGCTCCCTGGCGCAGCGCCCAGCCCAACACGACACGTCCGCAGCGCCTCGCAGGCGCCAAGCGTTCTCAAAACCAGGGGGCTGCGCAGGGGGTGGTTTCGGAGCTCTCTGACCCATCGCCCAACCCAGCCTGACACTCGCAGGGCCTGGCAGGAGCAGCACGTCCTCGACACCGGAGGGGGTGCGCACGGGGTGATGTCGGAGCTTTCTGGTCTCGTCCAACCCAACAGGACGCTTGAAGGGCCTGAATTGCGCCACACTTTCTCCACACCGTCACAAGGGGGCGCACATGAGGTGGCTTCGAATTTCCCTGACGCAATGCCCGACCCAACACGACGCTCGCAGGGATCGGCAGGGGTGGCACTTCTCGACGCCAGAGGGTGTGCGCAGGGCGTGGTTTCGGAGCTCCCTAACGCATCGCCGCACCCAACACGACGTCCGCAGAGCCTCGCAGGCGCCACACTTTCTCGATCCCAGAGGTGGTGCGCAGGGGTGGTTGCGTCGCAGTTCCCTGGTGCATCGCCAAGCCCAACACGACCCTTACAAGGCCTGGCAGGCCTGGCACTTTCTCGACACCGGGGGAGTGCGCAGGGAATGGTCCGACTCAACACGTTGCTCGCAGGGCGTGGCAGGCATGGCACTTCCTCGACACCAGATCGGGTGTCCTGGGAGATGGTTCCCCGAATCATCCGTCCCACGCTCGCATGCTGTGGCAGGCGTGTCACTTCTTCGACACCGAGAGGGGGTGCGCATGTGGGGGTACCCTGCCCGCGCCACGCTCACAGGGCGTCGCAGACGCCTCCCAAGAGCAGCTGGGGGGAGCCTCGCAGGAGCCGGGGGGGGGCGTCCTCGCGTGCCCTGGAGGGCGTGTTCGTACAGTCGAGGCGTTGACCTGAGGAACCCTAAATAAGGAACGAGGCCCCTATTTTCCATAAAGTTGAACTTCGATTTCGTATCGAAAACCTAAGGAAAATCCAAGGCAAGCTGCGAAACAATTGAGGAACAAGGAGCCCCTCCCCAACGAAAAGGGTTCCTTCTTCAGGGCCCCGACTGTAAGATGCCAACACACAAACGCAATGAACTGAGCATGCAGGGCCCGTCGGTGCCATACTTGGGGAGATTCTCCGGCAATGTTTCAATGGCTTGGGTGTCTCACCAGCTTGCTTCTCATGTGCCGCTGAGGCTTCCAGAGTGCCCCAGAGATCGGCCAAGAGAGCCCCGACGGGGCCATGAAGAGGCCCAAGACTCAGATGCTCATTCTGTGAACCTTCTTGGAGCAACCCGCTCCACGCGTGCGTTGAAGCTGCGTCGAACGTCCGTCGACTCGAATCCAACCTGAACCGAATCTGAGTCGAACCTGAGCCGAACTTGAGTCGGACTCGAGTCGGGCTGGAGTCGAATTTTAGTCGAACTGATCTGCTAGGTGGGCCCCAGAACGGTCCCCAAAACGAGCATCTATCAAGAGAGCCCCGACAGGGCCATGAAGAGGCCCAAGACGGACCCGAGGAGAGCTGCAAGAGGCCACATGTTGGGCCTTCTCAGGGGCGGGGCGATTCGTCAACGGCCCCCTCGTTTGATTGGCTCCTTCTGAGATGGCCCAAAGAGGGCGAGGCCCACAAAGAAGGCAGAGCTCAGAGGGCAGCAAGAGGCTCCGAGATGGCTCCAGGAACCTTCCACTTGGCTTCCAAGAGGATCCTTCGAGGACGAATGCGCGAAGGCCTCCATGATTGACTTACGCTCGTCGTCGTCGCCCCCCTTCCTCCCCATCTTCATGCTGCTGCTGCTGCTGCGCCGACTGGTGACATCAAAAATCACAACCGGATCCCCAGACCCCATCTTTCTACGAAATGCTTCGAGCGGCATCAGTGAGTCCGTCATGGTCCGGGGGCCTGAAACCGGGCGAAAACGCCCCGTGTGCAAGAAATGCAGCGCCCGGATCTCGGGGAAGCCCCACCCTCCTGGAGACGGTTTTCTGCTGACTCTGGCGAGTTTACTTGCACGGAGGGGGGGGGGCCGGGGGGCGTGGCGAGGCCGAAAATGAAATCGGACCTTCACGCAAGTCGGGGCTCGCTTGCACGCCTTCTCGACCCAGCGCTGCTTGAAACGGCTGCGGCCGGGATAATGCGATACAAACATCCCTGTCAGAGTCTGAAAGGGAATTCGCCGGCCCAACGGGCCAGAGGCGTGCTAAGATCTCCGGTAACTGGTTAACAATTTTCTAGTTCGCGCGCGCGGGGCGGCCCCTGGGGGTCCCCGGACGAAAAGTACCCCGACCAGGTCCCGGCCGGGTCCCCCCGAGCGCTCCATGAGCGCACCAACAGGGCTCCGAGACGTCCCCGAGAGCCCCAAGAAAGGCCAAGAGGCCCCCAAGAGGCCCCCAAGATGGTACACGAGGGGTCCGACATGCCACAAGATCGCTCCAAGACGCCCAAGATAGCCCCCAGACGCCCCAAGAGGCCTCCAAGAGCACTCCCAATAGGGCCCCCGGAGGCAAAAATCATTGTTTTTCCATAGGTTTTTGAGAGATTTTGGAGCTTCCACCTTTTCGGCTTCCCGACGCCCCAAGACGGCCCAAGAGGCCCCCAAGATCGCCCCAAGAGGGCCCAAGAGGCACCCAAGAGGGCCCCAAGATGGCCCAAGAGGGCTCGAAGACGGCCCAAGAAGCCTCCAAAACGGTCCAAGAGGGCCCCAAGAACGCCCCCAAAGGGGCCCCAGAGAGGGAACACGAAACAACATTTCGAGCCCTCGGCCCTAAGAAGCCCCTACGAGGCCCCTAAGAGGCCCCAAGAGGCCCCCACGGGGCCCTCAGGAGGCCCCCAAGAGTCCCCCAAGCGGCCCCAGGAGGCCCCCCAAATGCCCCCCCGAGCGCCCCAGGAGTCCCCCAAGCGGCCCCAGGAACCCCCAAAGCGCCGCATTGACACCAGGCCCTCGGGCAAACGGCAGACATGAGACTGTATGGGCCGGCGGAATGAGCGAAGCGATTAAATAACTTCTTTCGAGCCGCATTGCTCAGTGATGGTACTGCCAGCCACAAACATGTGTATGTATATACGTACGTATGTACGTACGTATGTGCATGCATGTAAATGCATGAACATATGTGTAAATGTATATAAATGTATGTAAATGCATGTGCATGTATGTAGGTGGATGTACATGTCTGGACATGTTTGTAAATGTAGTGAATGTGTGCACATGTATGTAAATATACGTATGTGTGTGTTTGTGTGTGTATGTATGTATGTATGGATGTATGTATGTATGCATGTATGCATGTATGCATGTATGCATGTATGCATGTATGCATGTGTGCATGTATGCATGCATGCATGTATGCATGTATGTATGTATGCATGTATGACTGTATGTATGTATGTGTGTATGTGTGTGTATGTGTGTATGTGTATGTATGTGTATGTATGTGTATGTATGTGTGTATGTGTGTATGTGTGTATGTGTGTATGTATGTATGTATGTATGTATGTATGTATGTATGTATGTATGTGTATGTGTATGTGTATGTATGCATACATGCATGTATGTATGTATGTGTGCATGCACGTACGTACGTACGTATGTATGTATGCATGAATGCATGTATGTATGTATGTATGTATGTACGTACGTACGTACGTACGTAGGTAGGTAGGTAGGTATGCATGCATGCATGCGTGCATGCATGCATGCATGTATGTATGTATGCATGTATGTATGTATGTATGTATGTATGTATGTATGTATGTATGTATGTATGTATGTATGTATGTATGTATATATTTATGTATATATGTATGTATGCATGTATGTATGTATGAGCATCTACTTATACATATACAAATACCCTCCGACGAACATTGCATGTGAATTCAGGGAGGGTGCCGGTGTATAGAACCGCTGACTCTCAGTGGTGACCCATACACCGCCACCCTCCCCTGAAACCCAAGAACAATCCCTTGGAAGGTGTTAAATTGTGGCGGATCCCGAGCCCGGAAGCCGAGCCAAATCGCCGGATGTGGAAAAACTGCAAGAACTGCATAAATCTGAGAAAGCGTGATCCACCGCCGCTTTACTGTGGAGAATTCCCCCCCTCTTCCTGCGGAACCCAGGGGTCCCCCCCCTCCGAAAATCCAGCCCCCCTGCTCGACCCCCCCCCTCCTCCTTTCTTCCCCTGCCCCCCCCCCCTCCGACCTCCCCCCGTCTGGAAAACCAGGGGGGGGTCACTGCCAGTTAGAACCCCCGCGGCCCCCCTCTAGAAAACCGGGGGAGGTCACTACTGGTTCGAGCCCCCCCCCCCCTCGCCGCCGGCAAACGACTCCCGGGTCCCCACCGTCGACCTCACCACCGCCCTCACCGCTGTCTCCACCCACCACCACCGTCCCCACCACCCCCACCACCACTGTCCCACTGTCCCCACTGCTCCCAACACTGTCCCCACTGTCCCCACCAGTGCACCCACCACTGTCGCACTGTCCGCACTGTCCCCACCACTGTTCCCACCACTGTCCCACCGTCCCCACTGGCCACACTGTCCCCGCCACTGCCCCCACGGTCCCCACCACTGTCCCACTGTCCCCTGTGTTCCCGCCGCTGTCTCACTGAGCTGTCCCACTGTTCCCACCACTGTCCCACTGTCCCCACTGGCCCCGACACTGTCCCCACTGTACCACTGTCCCATTGTCCCACCACCGTCCTCCACCGCCCTCACAGCTGTCCCCACCACCACCGTCCTCAACACTGTCCCCACTGTCCCCACAACTGTCCCACTGTCCCCACTGTCCCCACCACTCTCCCCACTGTACCACTGTCCCCATTGTCCCACCACCGTCCTCACCACCGCCCTCACCACCGTCCCCACCACTACCGTCCCCACCAATGTCCCAGTCCCCACTGTCCCCACTGTCCCCACTACTGTCCAACTGTCCCCGCACCACTGTCCCCACCACCGTCCCCATCACTGTCCCACTGTCCCCATTGTCCCCACCACTGTCCAACTGTCCCCACACCACTGTCCCCACCACCTCCGTCCCCACCACTGTCCCACTGGCCCCACCACTGTCCCGCTGTCCCGAGGAGCGGGAATCGTTTGCCAGCGGCGAGGGGGGGGGTTCGAACCAGTAGTGACCCCCCCATGATGAACAGGGGGAGGGGAGGGGGGGGGTCGAACCAGTAGTGACCCCCCCTGTTTTCGAGGGGGGGGGACTGGTTGGGAACCCCCAGTGACCCCTCCGGTTTTCCGCCAGCAGCGGTAGACCACGCTCTTTCATAGATCTCAACTTCTGGAGGTCCGCACGGATTTCTTGGATCCGCGCTGGACCCCCTTCCTAGCGCGCGGAGCGCGCAAGGGGCGGCGCCAGAGGTGCCGCCAGGGGGGCCAATCGCAGATCCAAGAAATCCGCGCGAACCCCGAAAGTTGCTGTTTCTGCCGTTGCTGTTGGCCAACTCCCGCCATCGCTCGGACGTCCATTCCCCGTGCACGGTTCGGTTTGGTGCGCTCTGGGCGAAAGGGGGGGATAGCAAAGGGGGGGTTGAGAATCAGCTCGCGTAGCTGATTTTCCCGGCGCCTCCCGGCGCCGGAGGCGGCCATGTATCGAGGAATGCAGCAGATTTCGTAACCCCCCCCTTTCCCAATCCCCCCCTTTCGTCCGGCCCGCTCTGCTGCCTTCTCGCAGGAAGGCTCATGCTGCTCCTCGATGGCCCTCGCCGACAGAACATGCGCACGTCCGAGCGAGGCCGAGCGCAGAGGACGGCCCCCCTGCGCTCCAAGAAGACACCGCCCAGCCCAGCGGGGGGGGGGGGGGGTCAGCACAGGGGCAACGGGTCCTGAGGGAAACGGGCCCTCGCCATCGCTCGGACGTCCAGTTCCCGTGCACTGCTCGGTGTCGTGCGTGTTTCTTGTTGCTCGACGGTCCAGGATCGTCCTCAGTGGTCCTCGCCGAGAAAAAAAAAATGCACACGTCCGAGCGATGCCAAGGGTCCTGGGCCCTCCAGGCCTTCCCCCGGGGCCAATATCCTTCAAGTCGTCGCCTGGCCGTCCCCGGGGCGGCCCGTCGTGGGGGGCCCGATCGAGCCCGACGGCGGCGAAACACTTGTCGACCTGCTCCTCTCGGGACCCGTCTTCCCCCCATGGCGACCCGCGCCCCTCCCCCCCCGCCTCGAGGGGCATCGGCAGGGGGGCACCGACTTAACCATGGGGGGGGAACATCGGCCTGGCGTTGAGTCGGGCGCGTTCCCCGACAAGGGGAATTGTCGACGAACCAAAAATACTCACACACAAAATACTCTAAATTGGCCAAAAAAATGCTCAACAAACAGTCCCCAGATATGTTGGTTGCTATTTTTGAATATTCCCCCTGTGGAGGGACACGCCCGACTCGAACCTGGCATCGGGGATGCATCGCCGATAGGTCGGCGGTGTAGCCCCCGATCGCACAGCCGCGCCTGCCTGGGCGGGGCGGGGCTGCCGTTCCCCGGCAGTCGGGCAAAGGGCGAGACGACCGGGGGGGTCGGTGCGTCCCCTCCTCTGAGCCCGTTCCCCCCTATGTATAGCCCTATGCCCTGAGATTTTCACAGGGTGGGGAGAATCAAGTTGAAGGGGCCCTGGGGAACACAAACAAATATATACACACACACACAAATAGCAGGGTTCTCCTACATTCTTCCATATCTTCTGGGCTTTTGTGTCTTCCCCCCCACTTCCCATAGCTTCCCATATTTTCGAAGGAATCGCCGATTAATTGTGTCTGTGTTTTCTTCCCTCCTGAAAAGTTCGGGGTACAGAGAGGATAATACACGTCTTCCCTGGGAAAGAGGATGTTGAGGAGCATGCTGAGGACGTTGGCAAGGATGATTCATGACAAGATGATCCAATCTACGATTCGTACATTCCCCGGTGATAGTGAAGATTGGCCACGCCGCTCCCCGCCGCCGACCAAAACTGTCTCGGCCGGGGATAATCAACACTCAGGTCGTAAGGGGGCGGGAGGGATGCTTTGTTATCTGGGGCTTGCGGTTAGCGGTGTCCCTGAAAAGTGCACCTAAGCGTTTCCCTCACTTCCCTGGGACGCACATAGACATACTAGCACTTCATGTCATCCTTGGAGGCGCGCGTCCGACCCGAACATCTACTATACCCATCGTGTAATATCTCGTCTCCCGAGCGGTGTAGCCAGAAAGCGCCCGCCACGGCGCATACACTACAAGACTTCTCGGTGCGCGCGCCGCCCCTGGGGGGGGCGGCGCACGCATAGTATTAACAGATTGGGATGCCGCCGAATACAGGCATGCCGAGCCGCACTTCTACACTTGCACGGACAATGCCCCCCCGTGGGAGCCAGGTCTGCGAGGCGGGGATCTTTCCGTGACCACCGCCTGCGGGATCGATCTAACTACCCATAGCAACCGCCTGGGGATCGATCTTCGATGCATCCCACCCTTCTCGTTGCCCCTGACCCCAGCTGCGAGAAGCTCGAAGCGCAAACAACTTCGCGTTCTCGCGCCGCCCCCCAAGGGAGAAAAGGAGGATGAGGAGGAACCGGAGCCGAACCGCGAAGCGCGAACAACTTCGCGTCCTCGAGGGCACCCTTGCTGACCCCGGAGCCCCCCACCCACCCCAACCCCAACCCTCCCCTGGGAAAATTCCCCCTGGGGCAACGCCGACGACGACCACGCGGACGCCGACGTCGACGCCGACGCCGACGAAGGCGCGGACGCCGACGACGCCGACGACGCCGACGCCGACGACGACGGCGACGACGACGCCGACGACGACGCCGCCGCCGCCGACGACGACGACGACGACGACCACGCGGACGCCGACGTCGACGCCGACGCCGACGAAGACGCGGACGCCGACGACGACGACGACGACGACGACGCCGCCGCCCAGCCCAGCGGGGGCGCGACGCGCCGCCTAGGCCGCCCGCGTGCCGGCCGGGCTTCCGCTTCGGCCAGCCCGCCTCCGCGCCGCGAGGGGGCGCCGCCTCGCCGCGCCGCGGCGGCCAGGGGGGGGAGGAGGAGTACTGAGGAGGAGGAGGAGGGGGAGGAGGAGGAGGAGGAGGAGGAGGAGGAGGGGAGGAGGAGGAGGGAGGGAGGAGGAGGAGGAGGAGGAGGAGGAGGAGGAGGAGGAGGTGGAGGAGGAGGAGGAGGTGGAGGAGGAGAAAAGAAGGAGGAGGAGGAGGAGGAGGAGGAAGAGGAGGAGGAGGAGGGGGCCGCGGCGCGAGGACGACGGGGCCACGGGTGAGCCGGGAGCGGCCGCCCCGGCATTCCTGCAGGCCTACAACGACATGTTCTTCGAACCCGAAAGTGTTCTGAGGGGCAACAACGCCAGGTTCTCAGAACATGAGCCCGATGTGTCAGAACACGACTGTCTCGGCCAGAAAAGTTCGAAGAGCATTTCGTGCAGACCACACAAGACCTTCTGAGAACATTCCTTGGGGGGCCTATGGGCGAGCCAGGACGGTTCGCCACTGCTTGAAGCCAGGGCGAGGGTAACATCGGGTGAGGATGAATCGAGAAACTCTGAGATCCGGCGGCTCTCGAGAAGGTCTCCGGCGTCGCGGCCTTCTCGGAGCGTTCCGGAACGCTCTGGAACGGATTCATCCCCGTGCAAGCCTTAAGTCGGGCCTGCCCCCCTACAGGGATATTTTGGACGAAAGATGAAAAATATTCAAAAAATACTCCAATATGGTAAACAAAAATTCCAAAAGTAGTCCCCAGACTATTTTTCACTCTTCTTAAATGTTCCTCCTGTAGGGAGACAGGCCCGACGTAATGCAAGCCCCGTCCGACGAGGTCGACCGTATGGGGGGCACGCGGGAGGACACGAGCCCCCTGGGAGGGCCACGTGGCACCCGGAGTGCAGAAGAGGCCTGGGCCGCGGAAAGATGCAGGGCACGAGGGCACCCCTGAGTTGGCAGGGTCGACCTGCCGGTCAGTCGGCCGCCGAGTGCGCTGGCGGCGCGGAGGCCGCGCGGGAGGCTTCGCTGACGCCGCGGGCGACGCCTCGTCGCCGCTGGGCCTGCCGCGCGGTCTATGTAGCGGCGTGCGCGGCCCCGGCGGAGGCGGGGGGCGGCGACGCTCGCCGGGGGGGCCCGGCCGAGACCGGGGAGTCCGGCAAGATTACCAGCCTCCTCCTCCTCCTCCTCCTCCTCCTCCTCCTCCTTAACCTCCTCCTCCTGGAACATATCCCTATCCACTATGCTGGGCACCTCCTCATCACGATGCCAATCTAGGGAATCCCCTTATTTTTGGAGGGCGGCTCCCGAGGATTGTCACCGCCTTTTGGCGTGTCAACCTTAGGGATAGGGATACGTTCGATGCTGGTAACAAGAGGGCGTCTGGGAGGCCGGGGCGGGCTTCCCAGAAGCCCCTTTCGCCGTGTCCGAGCCCCCCTCCGCCCTCGTAGCATAGGCACAAGAGGAGGGGCCCTCACGCCGACCAGAGTGAGCCCCGCGAGCGCAGAGCCTCGTTCAGTGCCGATAGCCCAGGCCCACGACGTCGTGAATTGCTTCACGATGTCGACCCCGAGAGGTCCCGACCCCTTCCCCAGGACCGCTTTTCATCCGGAATCATGTTCTGACGGTCCCGAGGCCCAGTAAGGGCCCCCGGAGGCCGAAAATAGCGAAACACCTCGCTCCACGATGTTTGCCACGACGCGAGGGGGGTATGGGAGGCACAACTTGTGCCGTGCTTTCCCATGCCTCTGTTGTCCCTCACACCTTTTTGGCCCTCGGCTTATGTTGCTCCCATCACATCCCAGAAATGATTTCGAGCACCCGGAAAAATGTCGAAAGAGTGTCCAAACAGTGTCGAAACAGTGTCGCACGAGTGTCTGCCAGGGCCCGACACGTGAAAGCCAATGAGTTTCGGTACTTGTGGGGGGGCTCTAACTTCTTTCTCGTGGTCCAGGCTAAAGTAGGTTGGAACATCAGAGCCCTCGGCCAGCCGCCTTCTTACCACAGGCCACGCCCCCCGCCCCCGGGGGGGGGCGGCTGCGGCCACGGGGTGGGGCAGCCTCGGAGAGAGCGGCCGGCCACAGCCCTGGAGGACAGAGGAGGAAGAGGAGGAGGAGGAGGAAGAGGAGGAGGAGGAGGAAGAAGAAGAGGAGGAGGACGAGGCGAGCCCCGACGTGGTGTACACATCGACCTCCTCTGTGGCGCCCCAAAGCCGCCGCAGCAGCAGCTGTGTTCGCGCTTCGCACTTGCGCGCGCCTCGCGAAGCGCGAACGGCTTTGCGCTCTCGCGCCGCCCCTCGGGGGGGGAGGAGGAGGAGGAGGAGGAGGAGGAGGAGGAGGAGGAGGAGGAGGAGGAGGAGGAGGAGGAGGAGGAGGAGGGAAGAGGAGGAGGAGGAGGAGGAGGAGGAGGAGGAAGAAGGGGAGAAAAGGAGGAGGAGGAGGAGGAGGAGGAGGAGGGAGGGGGGGAGGAGGAGGAGGAGGAGGAGGAGAGGAGGAGGAGGAGGAGGAGGAGGAGGAGGAGGGGGAGGAGGAGGGGGAGGAGGTGGAGGAGGAGGAGGAGGAGGAGGAGCAGGAGATGGAGGAGGAGGAGGAGGAGAAGGAGGAGGAGGAGCAGGAGGAGGAGGTGGAGGCGGAGGAGAAGAGAAGGACGAACATATGAGTGAGGAATCGCGACCCGCGCGCCGCGAAGAGCTTCGCGCCCCCGCGGCGGCCCACTGCCTCCTGGGGCCTCGGGGGGGGGGTCCTCTTGATGGGCATCCAGACGCCGCTGCCTGGGGAAACCGTAAAGTAGGAAGGCACCAACTATACACCAACACCGATCCTGGCCAGGATCACCCTGGGCCCAGGATCGGTGTATACGCCCTCCTGCCTTGGGCAAGAAGGCATATACACCGATCCTGGGCCCAGGGTGATCCTGGGCCAGGATCGGTGTTGGTGTATAGTTGGTGCCCTCCGATAAAGTGCAGATGCCGCCACTCCCCGGACCTCTCCTTGGGTGCTTTCTGACTCTGACCAGCATTTCGAAGCGAATCCGGCGGTGGCGACGAGGGCCTCACTGGACCAGAAGACAAGCGACACCAACCCACCTGCGCCCCTGCGGGGCTTCGCGTGTACCAGAAGATCTTGCTGGGATATTGCGTGGTATACGCTACGTCGCCCGATGGGCCGTAGCACGCGCAACATAAAGGGCCGTAGGCGGGGTGGTGTCGTTTGTTGTTTGGTCGACTCACAGGAGGCCAAAAACTGGGAAAATCGAGGGAAGGGTCGCAAAACGGGGATCTTTTCCTCTTCGGAGATACCGGCCGGCCGCAGGCTCCCGCAGGGCGGGAGCCTCGGCGAGCTTCCGGTCCTCCTCGGCGTCGGGCTGCTCGCGCAGGCCGCCGCGAACGTTCCGCGTCGACGGCCACTCCTGGAGGAGGAGGAGGAGGAGGAGGAGGAGGAGGAGGAGGAGGAGGAGGAGGAGGAGGAGGAGGAGGAGGAGGAGGAGGGGGAGGAAGAGGAAGACGAGGAGGACGATCGTCGAGGCTGTCTCGTAGGACACGTGTAAGGGGAGGAGGGGGAGGGAGGGAGGGAGGGAGGGAGGAGGAGGGAGGAGGAGGAGGAGGAGGAGGAGGACGAGGAGGGGGGAGGAGGAGGAGGAGGACGAGGAGGAGGCGGGGGCGCGCTGGGGGGCGGGCGGGGGGCGAGCGTCTCCCTCCTCCCGCTCCTCTCCCCGAGGTTCGGCGTGCACTCCTGGGGCTCACGCCGTGGGGCGCAGGCTGTTCGCCACGGCAATACATTCCTCCTCCTCCTCCTCCTCATCCTCCTCCTCCTCCTGCACAGACACCCTCCGACGAATTTTGCACGGAGGGTGGCTGTGTAGAAAGAAGCTGGCCCTCAATGGAATTGTATACACCAGGGCTGAACCTAAACGGTGGTCTTCCTTTTTGGTTTATTCTCGTTTCCCCTCGCTTTTGTCTCGAATCCGCCTTTACCGCAACACGAAGTCGAAACGAAAACGGTCCACGAAATCGCCAAAAACACCGTTTAGGTCCAGCCCTGGTAGAGAGTCGCTGGCCCTCAATGGAATTGTATACACCGCTGGCCTCCCCCGAGGCCCAGGAACAATCCATTGGGGGGTGCCTGTGTATATTTCTGTGTGGCGAAAACTGTGGGATGCAGCACCTGTGTATGGTGCAGTTTGTGTGCGTGGTGCGCAGTCTGCGTGATGCAGTCTGTGCTGTGCATATGACAGCTAGCCTGAGCGGTGTCGCGCGCTAGCGCACTCCAAATGCTTCACTACAAATCCCACACGCCCACCCGCAACGCAAAGGCAAAACTCTGGCGACCGTGAGTGTAATTTCCCATCGGACCTTGTTTGCAAATCGTAAAAAACGCAATGGCGAAGGGACTTTGCTGGCACCAGCCCGCAACAACTCTGCTGGGACCACCCCTTCGCGAACAGGCCCTACAGTCCCGCAATTATTTCTACGAGCCGACCGCTCTGTTCTCACCCCCCCTGTGTCATCCTCTCCCCCTCATCCACCTCCTCCCCCACCTCCTTATCATCCTCCTCCAGACTCCTCCTCCTCCTCCTCCATCTCCTCACCCGTTTCCTCGTTCTCATGTGGATATTCCTGCTCCCCCTACTCCTCCTTCTCCGACTACACACTCCGCCTCCTCACATCCCTAGTCTGGGGGACCAAAGGTGCCGATACTGCTACTCCCTGCACCTCTCCAGGGGTGCGCTCTCACCAGAACTTCGAGGCGAATCCAAGGACCTCCCAGGAGGCCGAAACAGGAAAAAACAACAGTCGAAGGGCAGGGGTAGGGGCACCCTGTTTCTCTCTCCTCGAGAGTCGATCCTCTAGCCTGAACGACGACGACGACGACGACGACGACGACGACGACGACGACGACGCCGCCCGCGGCGGCGGCGGCGACCACGCCCGCGACGCGCGCCCTCCTCTCCGAGACTGGGGGCCGCGGGAGGCTGCCTCTGAGCCACCCCCCCGCCTCCTCCTCCAAAAAGCCCTCGAGCTTCCTTCTCCGCCTACTCCTCCTCCTCCCCCTCCTCCTCCTCCTCCTCCTCCTCCTCTTCCTCCTCCTCCTCCTCAAAAAAATCCTCGAAGTTCCTCCTCCTCCTCCTGCTCCGCCTCCTCCTCCTCCTCCTCCTCCTCCTCCTTCTACGAATTAACGCAGGCTGAGACGAAGCCAGAACGAGGATCCGTTCGGGTGAGGATATAAATCGAGGATCTTTGAGGTCTGGCGGCCTTGGAGGAAGTCTCGGGCGCCGCGGCCTTCTCAGAGTGTCCCGAAACGCTCTCGGAGCGTTCCGGAACGCTCTGGAACGCTGTTGTTCAAAAGTTCCTGACCACTGTCCAGCGTTTTTGGTAACTCGGGGGACCTGAGATCCGAGAATTCCCGACCGCTATCCAAAAGTTCCTGACCGTACCCCCCCAAACGTTGTCCCCGAGAGAGAGAGAGAGTTGATTAACCAAAAAAGGGTCAACCACACACACGCACACACACCCCTTTTGCGAGGGGACCTAAGTTAGGCGGGCCAAACACATTAGGCATCGGGGCTGCAGCGGGCCCAAAACATTAGGCATTAAAGCTGCATTCTGCAGATGCAGCAGACCAAGCCGCCCAGACCGATCCTCCCTGATCCGAAGACGGGGACCTCAGAGAGGCCACGCCTTCATCCTGTCATTAGGGTTACGGGCTCTCATGTGCTCGATGAATTGGGCGCCCGAGTTATCTGGGGTAACTCGGGTCCGGGGTAACTCGGGTTTGGATTCCCGAAAAAGGAACCCGAGTTAGCCCTGACCCGAGTTACCCCTGATGATGTGGGGCTCTGGACGCCCGAGTTATCTGGGGTAACTCGGGTCCGGGGTAACTCGGGTTTGGCTTCCCGAAAAACGAACCCGAGTTAGCCCTGACCCGAGTTACCCCTGATGATGTGGGGCTCTGGACGCCCGAGTTATCTGGGGTAACTCGGGTCCGGGGTAACTCGGGCTTGGACTCCCGAAAAACGAACCCGAGTTAGCCCTGACCCGAGTTACCCCTGATGATGTGGGGCTCTGGACGCCCGAGTTATCCGGGGTAACTCGGGTCCGGGGTAACTCGGGCTTGGATTCCCGAGAAAGGAACCCGAGTTAGCCCTGACCCGAGTTACCCCTGATGATGTGGGGCTCTGGACGCCCGAGTTATCTGGGGCAACTCGGGTCCGGGGTAACTCGGGCTTGGATTCCCGAAAAAGGAGCCCGAGTTATCCCTGACCCGAGTTACCCCTGATGATTCGGGGCTCTGAATGATAAAGGGAAATCAGGACACACAAATAGATACACACAAGTAAAAAGATTCCCCGTATTTTCCCATATTTTCTGGGTTCTTGTCTTCCCCCCCATCTTCCCATATTTTTGCATCTTTTCCTGGGAGTCGACGAGGAATTGTGTCTGTGTGCTTCTTTTCCCCCTGAGAATGAAGAGCGGCGGGGCGCCCGCGGCAGGGGGCGGGGCCCTCCTCCGAGCCCCCGGTGCCCGCCGTGGCGGCGTGGTGCTGCGGGCCGGCGTTGCCGTGCCGCGGCTGGTGCTGCGGGCCGCCTCCGCGGGCGGCGCCGACGCCGCCGGCGCCGCCGACGACGACGACGACGACGACGACGACGACGACGACGACGGCGCCGACGCCGTCGACGACGCCGATGCCGAGGGCGACGACGATAGTGGCGCGGCTGGTGCTCTTCGCCGACGATGGGGCGACGCCGACACCGCCGCGGCCGTCGTCATCGTGCTCGTCGGCGGCCCCTCTCTCTCTCTGTCTCTATGCTGCTCCCTCCCTCTCCTCTGTGCTCATCCTCTCCTGCTCGTCGTAAATATTCTCAGTGTTGCTCCTCCTTCTTCCTCCCCTCCCTCCTCCTCCTCCTCCTCCTTCTCCTCCTCCTTCTCCTCCTCCTACTCCTCCACCTCCTCCTCCTAGGAGGCACCCGCCAGCTCTCGTGAGGGGATCCCGCAAACGCCCCCCTATACGGTGTCCACGCTGCGTCTCTATGTCTCGCTTTCCCTACGCCCCCCGTCTTCTTGCCATTGCCACATGCTGCCCCTCCTCATTCGATCCTGATCCATGTTCATCTCCCTCCCCTCGTACCGTTGCCCAAGCGGCCGCCGCGCCTGCACGGAGTGTCCGTGTTACAGTGCTCTTCTGGGTGGGTGTTTGAGACATGTTTTCTAGAGCCGACACCCCCACTCATCGCACGCACCCCTAAAACATGGCCCCCTCTCTGATGTTGCTCGCTTTCCCGGGTCTTTTCGGCCTCGGGACGGCCAAAATGGCATCCAAGACGGCCTAGAAGACGGCGAAGACGACACCAAGACAGCCAAAAAATGGCACAAGACCGCTCCGAAGGCTCCCACGACGGCCTCAAGACAGCCCAAAGAGACCTCCAATACGTCAAACTGGGGCTCCAAGAGGTCGTAAAGGAGAGCCCGAGAAGAGAAAAGCAAGTGATGCTCTTTAGGCTGTTGACGGATTGCCGAATTCTCACCTGTTTCGGTATGCGAACGCCCAAGATGGCCCAAGATGGCGACGCGAACGACACGACGATTGACGAGCGGCGGCGGGCGGCAGGGCACACCCGAAATTGGTACGAAAACAAACGGGCGCATTGCCCAACAGCAAAAGTTGTCCCAAACCACCAGCAGCGGCTGCTGTTAGGCAGGCGCCTCTTTGTTGCGGATGGACACCGTCCGCGGCGACACCGCCAGTGAGTCCTGCCCAATATGGACAAAAACCTCGATCAGTCTTACGTTTCTCCCGTCGCACTTAAGGACCACACTTTAAAGAGTGTCGAAATACTGTCGAAATGGTGTCGAAACAGGGCCCGACCCGTGAAAACCCCAGAGTTTTCGGGGGGCACTCTTCTGGCGCTCGAGACTCTTTCTGGCGGTCAGGGCTAAAGTAGGCTGGAACATCATAAGATCAGGCTCCGTTTGGGCGCCCGAGTTATCTGGGGTAACTCGGGTCCGGGGTAACTCGGGTTTGGATTCCCGAAAAAGGAATCCGAGTTAGCCCTGACCCGAGTTACCCCTGATGATGTGGGGCTCTGGACGCCCGAGTTATCTGGGGTAACTCGGGTCCGGGGTAACTCGGGCTTGGATTCCCGAAAAACGAGCCCGAGTTATCCCTGACCCGAGTTACCCCTGATGATTCGGGGCTCTGATCCGTCGCCATCCCTTCCATACCTGAAGGGCGCCTCACTCTGCGCCCCATGCTGCGCGCAGCGCGACCACCTCCGCGCCCTCGCGGCGCCGCCCCGCGGAGCGCGAAGCGCGCACAGCCTCGCGCCCTCGCGGGCGCCCTCGTCGGGATCCACCAGCGGGGGGGGGACCCTGAGGGGGGGCGCGAGCTCGATCCGCTGGTGCGCCGAACCGCCGCAGCAAAGACAGGTGCCCCCCGCATGCCCCGCCTGTCGGCATATCGTCGGGGGCTGGCCTGCGGCCGGGGGGCACCTGTTGTGGGCGGTCCGGTACCAAAACCGATCGAACTCTCTCCCTCTCTCTCTCACACACACACACGCCGGGGCACACCCCCTCTGCGGGATCCCGACCTTGGTAATCACCCGTGCCCATCCTCCGGAGCGGCGGCTGCGACGGGGCCGTCGACGGCGGCCCCGGCGGCGACGCGGCGGCGGCGAGGGCGCCCGACCGCCGAGGGCCACGGCGCCGAAGGCGGCAGGCGGCAGGCGGCGACGACTGCCGCGGGCGGCGGCGACGGAGAGGTCTGAGGGGCAACGATAGGGGGGGGATGGGCATAAGCAGGGGGGGATGCATCGACCTGGAATCGGCGATGCATCGCCGATGGATCGGCGATGGGCACCTTCCTGGGCCACGGTGGGGCTGTCGGGCCCCTGTCGGCGATCAGTGGGCGATCTTGGGGGTCGATGCATCGCCCCCTGTGCCTGTCCCCCGCCCCCATCGTCGCCCCCGCACGGAGAGGTCGCCGCGGCCTTGCCCGCGGTCCCGCCGGTCGCCGCCGTCGGCGCCAGAGCCTCGGGCGCGGGCCGAGGGCAGTGGGAGGCAACTCCTGGCAGGCCCTCGCGAGAACGAGGGTCGCCCACGACTATCGACAGGCTGAGCGACGCACACGCGACCTCGAAGAGGGCAGAGCTCTCAAGAACATTGGGGTATCTGGCTCTGGACCTCTGCTTCACGCGACTGCTTGAGAGGGAGGAGGGAGGAGGAGGAGGAGGAGGAGGAGGAGGAGGAGGAGGAGGAGGAGGAGGAGGAGGAGGGAGGAGGAGGAGGAGAGGAGAGGAGAGGAGGAGGAGGAGGAGGAGGAACGAAATGTGGCCTGTCGAGGAGTGCTTAGCGACACTCCCAGGGGTAGCAGCGCCCGTTGCCCCTGCGGAGGGGGGAGGTCTCCTTGCCCCTTCGGCCAGCGCTTAGTGATGTTCGCTGGCCAACCTCGTTCGAGACACGTGAACATGGCCTTCCAAGGCCCTTACATCCTTCCTACGCTTCCTTATTATAAAGGTTGACTGTCTGTACAGTCAACCCGCAGAGTAAGGATGCGCGATAAGGATGCAAGGCCCTTGGAAGCCCATCTCGAAGCGTTTCTAGCGGGGCGCGGCCAACGAGAGTGTCCAAGGATGGACCCAGGAAGCAAGGATGCAAGGTTACCCTTGGGACGGATGCCTATCCTTACTCTGCAGGTCGACTGTAAGGAACGGCTCGAAAACCGGAACCCCTCCTGAGCCCAAAAAGGTCATTACTTCAGCGTCCTGGCTGCAAGCAACGCCCCTAGCCAAGAGCTCCGACACCGTGATTGTGTCACAACGCCGACCCACACAGTGGTCTGGATCCCTTCCCCAGGAACGGTTTCTCGTCCAGAGCTCTTTTGTTGACCGTCCCAGGCTCCAGCGAGGGCTCCCCCAGAGGCCGAAAGCGACGAACAAACCCCGTCGCGTTTCTCCAATACGTTGGAGGTCTGGGTCTGTTGGGGGTCACAAATCCGGGTGGTGACAGATCACGCGGTGACCTCGGCACCCCCACATTCGATGGCAACTCATGGGAGCCTCCCATACCATCGTGCTGGCTCTTGCGAATCGACGCTAGTCGACGCTACATCGACGCTCATCGACGCCAAATCGACGCTAGTCGACGCTAGCCGACGCCACATCGGCGCTATCTCATCGCCTCCCAGACGCTAATCGACGCTAACGCAGTCGAAAAACAGAATTGCGAAGGCACACAACGCTCCCATGATTTGCTACCGAACCACAGACCTCACCACACGGTCCGTCACCGCGCCGTCTTGGGACCTCGGGGGCCGCGGTCGCCCGAGAGACGTCCTCGAAGAGCGACCCAAGTCCCGAAACCGCGCGGTCACTCCGAGTTCGGAACTCGGGGGATTACAATCAGCGGCAAGCGAGGGGGGAAATGAGAAGGAGAACGCCTCCCCAGAAGGCGGCGGAACTTCTCAGAAGCCCTCGAGTCTTCTGAGAAGTTTTCTGCGTCTTCGGGGAAGGCTTAGGAAACTTCTCAAAGGCTGGCGGAATTCCGAGCCCTCTGAGAAGGCCCACTCCTTCTCACTTCCCCCCTTCGCTCGCCGCCGACTCAAACCATCATGCTGCTCTTACGAACCGACGCTGATCAACGCTAGTCGACGCTGCATCGACGCTGAACGGCGCTCAATCGGTGCGATGTCATCGATTCACCAAATCGACGCTACTGCACTCAAAGCACGGAACGACGAGAACACAGGAGGCTTCCATGAGTTGTGACCGAGGCCCACCACACTCAACAGGGGCCCCCAGAAGAGCCCAGAATCGAATCATCGGCGATCGAAATGACTTCGATCGGAGAAAATCGGCAGCCGAGTCGGGAAACGTCGACTCGGCGGATTTCGGCAAGCCGGTAGGCCTTTCTCAAAAAATCGGAGCCCACATCGGAATCCGAAGTCGAATCGAATCGGACTCAGAAGCTATCGAAATCGAATCGAATCGAAGGTCGGCGACTCCGAATGGTGTGGTTTGCAGAGGGTGTGGCTTGCAACCAGGCACCCTGGGGGGCACCCTGGGAAGCGGGCGAGGACCTCGACAGGGCTCCCCGCCGCGTCCCGAGGCGGCCCGACGAGGACAGCGTCGCGCTCCCTAGGCCCCCAACGGCGCCGATTGCGGACCGCACCCTGGCGTAACCATACCCTTCCCTGTCATCCAACGTTGCCAAACAACTGCAACATCCTAAACAATCACCACCGGAGCCCAGGATCCCCCATCTTCCTGCGGCGATCTTCGAGCAGAGTCGATATGAGAGGGCCCCGGGGCCGAAACTGGGCGAAAACGCCTGTTGTAAGGAGCCGAACTCTATACGCCGACGCTTTTTCTGGCCCCGCGCTGAAACTCGCACAGGGAAGCGGATCCTGGTCTATACGGAATCCTGGTGCATACATTTTTCGTTGCTTCCCCAGGAAAGCAGGGGAAAACAGATGCACCACACCACCCCGGCGCTGTCCCCGAAGTCCTGGGCTTGAGAAGCAGCCCGCCTCTGCCAGTTTGCGACGAAATGGAGTCCGGCGGGATCCGCGCGAGAAAGTCGAGAGCGCAATG